CACACATTACACACAACACACTTCACACAGCTCGTGCACAGCTGGAGTTTCTATGTGAAGTGTTTAGTTCGTTTGGTTTCGTCATTTACAGCTCAGAATTTTTATTCAGTGAAAATAAGAACAAAGTTTCTCAGGCTGTTTTATATTTTATATTATAACCAGTGTCAGGGCGGACTGACAACCTGGGCATTCTGGAAAAGTCCAGAAGGTCCATCAGAACGTGGGGGGTCTTTTGCCTATCGCGTCGTGGGTGTGTATATGACTGTATTTATTTAAAGCTCATGTGAAGCCAAAGGCGATTCTAAAGTATTTAAAAGTGAATCTCTTAGTTGTTCCTGGATCTATGGACGAAAAATAAAAAGTGAGTGAAAGATCAAACCCTCCTCTGTTAGAATATTTCAGCTGTACGTCTCTATGAAGATGTTTTCTGTTGCTTCTGAGGAGGACACGTAGCCAGGCTGCTGCCACCTACTGCCTCCACTCAATTTCATTTCTCTCCAGCGACTAGTTCAGGAATCAGAATAGGTGAGTTTCATTGTTATTAAAAGCCCGTGTTGCATGCTGGGAAATATTTTGGTCGGCGGTAAGAAACACGATAGCGTCAAACACAGTGCGTAACCTCGCGTATTTCTCCCCGATAATGGTAAATTCCTGCTTTATTATCAGATGCACAAATAGAAGCACGGAAGAAGGAAAATGTCTTTTTCGTATTCCGAGTGAAAAGAACCGCTAACAGTGAATTAAACGACTTTCAAACATTCGCAGAGCAAACGTAGAAGATCCTAACAAACCGTGGACTCCAACAAGTTCAGACCGCATGTGTTGGGCCCATTTCTTGACAGGGTTGTGCATTTCTGTTAAATAAATTATATTAATGTGTAATTTCAATACATTTTAAGGCAAAATGTGTTGTCTTTTTGACACGAGAGCCGCATTGTGATCTGAATTATCCGGACAACACACCACAACTGAATCTGGGACACAAATAGCAGAAAAACAAGGTCACACTCAAATGATTGCTGAATCGCTTCGAAAGACAAAACAAACGATTGCGACGTAGCAACAGTTTCTGCTAAATCCCAGGATGAAATTACCACATGTACTTCTTCACACCCGATCCTAACTTAGAATCCACAATTTCTCACTAAAACTCAGAACCACAAACCAGCTTAAATGAACCTACTGAAAAGAGTGTTCAGACCGATAAACGGAATACGAAAAAGACATTTTCTTTCTTCCGTGCTTCTATTTGTGCATCTGATAATGCAGCAGGAATTTACCATTATCAGGGAGAAATACACGAGGTTACGCACTGTGTTTGATAGGGGTGTGTAAAAATATTGAAATATCGATGTATCGTATCACTTAATTTGATGATACAGTATCGATGGGCTGCTGTATCGATATATCGCCAAGAGTATTTTTTGGTATATTTTACTCAATTATTTTGTTACAGTGCTACAGTTTTGTTGCTTTTTCAGTGGAAGGAAACTTGTTTATGCAACACATTTGACATTTTCACTGTTTTGATTATTAAAATGGCTGTATTTCATATTAACTTTGCACAAGAAGTGGTTGAACAAACACTTTTAGTATCACAGCCATAATTTAGCATTTATTTTTATTGAACCGTCTCGAATCGATTTGAAATATATCGTATCGAAACAAAAGTGCACTGTATCGGGATATGTATTGTATCGTGGCCTATGTATCGAGGTATGTATCGTATCGGCAACTTCTTAATGATACCCAGCTCTAGTGTTTGACCGCTATCGTGTTTCTTGCCGCCGACCAAAATATTTCCCAGCATACAACACGGGCTTTTAATAACAATGACGTCAGCTGAAACTCGCCGATACACAAGACAGTTTGCAAGAACCTTGGAAGTACAAGTTCGGGCACCAGACAATCAACAAAGAGACATATATTCTGTGTTGTCAGCGATTCCGAGATCGAGGATTTAATGTCGGAACAAAGAGAATGTTTGGTAAATTTTATCAAGGGGAAAGACGTTATTGTCCTTCTTCCTACGGGATTTGGGAAAAGTTTAATATACCAGTTATCCCCGTTAGCGGCGCATTACATACATCATGAACAAATAGCAGTGATTGGTTAAATAAAAAACATTTAAAAAATTAATAAAAAGTACCCACCTACTGCCGAGCGAATTCTAACACTGTGAGGTCAGACGGTTTCCACGACATGAAACCGGCTGATGAATCAGACTAGATGACACCAAGAGAACTGTTTAACTTTTGGACCAAAATAAATGACAACAAAGAGCACATGGAGGGACACTTGTATCGAATTGTTAGACTAGTATCGAAAGATCTGATATTACAGTACAGCCTGTGTGGACTTACTCTGCAGGCCTCTTGATAGTTTTATTTTTGAAAAGCCTGTGTCATTACTCACAGTGCTGGCCGTTGTTTATTTATTTTGGGTGTTGTCTGTGTTGTCCTCTCTGGTGTTTTATTGTGAAAAGCCCGTGTGTACTCACATTACAGGCCTCTGTGTTGTCCTCTCTGACGGGGATGATGAAGGAGAACAGTTCTATCTGCTCTTCACACTGGTCCACAGTCGTGTTAAACTCTGCACAGCTGGAGACCACAGAGAACATGTGACTGGGGAGGGGCGGGGCCTCGGGAGTGTACCTGCACAACACACAGGAGACAGGTGTAAAAGGCAGGTGAGACAGGTGGAACAGACAGGTGAGACAGGAGAAATCTGCTTCCACATTATAGTCACGTTATAATATTGCACGGGCATCTCATGTCCAAAAGAGGGTCAAAAACTCGTGCTTGCAACTCAATCTAAAATGATGTTCAGTAAAAAAACAAGTGAGTTCCGTTGGTCCAGTGTGTTTGTGGACGGGTGGAACTCAGCCTCATCAAAGAGTTTAAATATCTGGGACTGACATTAGACCCGACATTGACATTTAAGAAACACATTAAGCGCCAAACAAAAACTGTTCATGTTAGACCAGTAAAATCCTTTATGACTCTACACGCAGCACAAATGTTTTTACGCTTCATGACTGTGTCTCTTATAGAGTGTTGCAGAAACACACGGTCCCTCACTGATGGCACAAAACTCAAACCCGTCAAATCACTTTTTTTTTTAAAATGTAAAAATATTGGACAAGAACCCACTCTCATTTCACCACTGCACTGTTTTAGATAAGCACAACCTGCTTCATTTGAATCATTTTGTTGATTTTAAATATGGATGTTTTATATATAAAGTTTTGTCTGGATTTGCCCTCCTCCGTTATAGGATTTTATTCAAATTAAGACTTGTCAGTGGGAACTTGGGTCACGGCTCGGGGGAACTGTGAGCTCCACACAGACACGTCACATTTGGACAAAATGTGTCTCAGTCAGAGACACTAAGTTCTGGAACAGTCGCCCATTATCAATAAGAGAAACTCCAACACTGGACACTTTCAAATCCCACTTGAAACAGGCTAAACAAAAACCAGACTTGTGGATACTTTTAGAGTAGAACTGTCGTTTGTCACTTGTTATTGATTTTTTATTTTTTTCTGTTAAATTTGTGGTGTCACCTGCCGAGGGACGACAAATGGAAATGAGCATTTTTGCAATAATCTGTCAGATTTACACTGCAGTGTTGTAGATGTTCATGAATATGCACTGTCCCTCTTCAATAAATAAATAAATAAAATAGTAATAATAATAAACATGTACAATAGTTCCTCTAGTGGTCAAGACTCCAGCTGAATTGAAGTTCCTGCGTAAAGATGTAGTTTGTAACATTTCTGATGGGGGATACACTGTGTTCTTGTCTCCATGGTGATGCTCCTGCTTGGTCTGGTACATTCCTCAGTACGGAACTAAAACTCTTACACAAAATGGACTCTTGTGAGCTTAAGTCATGTTCTAACGCTGTTCTCGCATCAAAAACAGACCTGGACTTGTGTTTGTTTCATTCACATGTTTGAGTAACTCTTTATTATCAGTCTGTCTACATTTTCAAAGCTTAAAATGCTCTGGTCCACAGTGTTGGGGAGTAACAGATTACACCAGAGTTATGTAATCAGAGTACAAATGATGAGTAACTGTATTCAGTTACAGTCACTGTTTCAGTGAGTGGTAATTGGATTACAGTTACTTTCTTGAAATAAATGGATTACATGGTGGGATTTTCCTGTTTTCACATTTTGGGCTATGTCCGTTTTTTTTTTTTAACCAAGTCTAAACCAGGGCTAATTCCAGATTGAACCAGGACTAAACCCAGTTCTAAACCAGGTCTAAACCAGGTCTAAAACAGGATTTAACAGGACTAAACCATGTCGTGTGGACCCTGTCTCCTCGTCTTCTATCAATAATATTTTTAATTTGGTTCAGTAAAGTCTGGGCTTTTTATTTTCTTTTATCAGACAAAACATCTTATGTGAAGATTTCCTTGTCTTTGTTTCTCTACAGCAAATCAAGTAATCCAAAGTAATCAGATTACATTGCTCGCTTTAAGTAATTTAATGGATTACGTTACAAACCACATTTTGGGGTATGTAATATGTAATCTGTAGGGGATTACATTTTAAAAGTCACCTTCCCAGCACTGCTGTTCCACCTTGTGATGTCATGAAGCAGGAGTTTTCAAGTGAACAGCTCCTTTCCCCTTCAGTTCAGTAGACATCAGCAAATTCAGAGCTGAAATGATCCAAATGATTCTAGTGAAGGTGTGTGGAGTTTAAAAACACAGTGGAGCACTTCCTGTATCACCACATGACATCACAAAGTGGAACAGAGTGTGTTCTGTTTGAGAGAAGAGCTCAACAAAACACAACTCCAGGTGTGTGTGTGTGACGAGGAAACGACATTATAAAACATCGATCTGAAAATAACACTGGCCCTTTACTTGTTCAATGGAGCCAAGTTACAAGTCACATCTGCGGAGTGGCGACCCTGTTCACAGTGAAATTGCATGTTTTCAGGACATGACACATAAGTTTAATGCTATACTGTGGAACAATCATGCAGAGCGATTCTCCAGACAGACCCAACAACAGAAAATAACACAGTGTTGAACCAACTGATGATGTCATAAGGTGTACCCGGGTATTGTGAGCTGTGCAGACAGAGACTAAATGTGGAAGGATTAGTCAAACATGTGAAACAAACAAAAACTAAACACAACTCCAGGAACCTTTCTGACGAGAACACATGACAGGGTTAAAACTCCACTACGGGACATTTCCTCACATTAGAACAGGGTTAAAGCCTCAGTGCGGGACATTTCCTCACATTAGAACAGGGTTAAAGCCTCAGTGCGGGACATTTCCTCACATTAGAACAGGGTTAAAGCCTCAGTGTGGGACATTTCCTCACATTAGAATAGAGTTACACAGTGTTTTGAGTGTAAAGTTGAGTCTCACTCTCTGATCTGCTCCAGCGTGTCCCTGAGGCCGTCGTGGTTATGGTCAAAAATGGGTCCCACCAAAACGTTCACGCCGTTGTTTTCTTCTGCGTATCTCCTGAAGAGCACCCCCTGCAGGTAACCCCACACTCCTGCACACACACACACACACACACACACACACACACGCACACACACACGCACACACACGCACACACACACACACACACACACACACACACACACACACACACGCACACACACACACACACACACACACACGCGCACACACACACACACACGCACACACACACACACACGCACACACACACACACACACACGCACACACAGCAGCAGTCAGGAAAAGAAAACAATACAAAACTGACACATTAAACTCACACTCAACTGCACTTTTGAGGTTCATTTTTCAGTCTTTTTACTTTAGGAATCTGAACCTAAACCAAGACACTTCCAAACACATGTTCTGATGGATTATAAAACATGTGATGAGAAAAACACAGATGTTATGTTTTACTCAGTGTCGTTCACTTCTACATGTATTTAAATGTGACCAGTGTACATCACTGGTGGAGGGTGCGGCACCTGCTTGTCTCCATGGAGATGATACTGCACTGACTGCAGTGGTGGAAAAAAATACTCAATCTGGAGAAAAAAAAAAAAAAAAGAAAGACAAAAAGGAAATCCAATAAACCTAAAACTATAACATGAAAATATCTACTCAAGTAAAATGATTAAAGTACTAGTTTATAAATGTACTTAGAGTGTTTTAGAATAGAATAAAATAGAATAGAAAGCCTTTATTATCATTCTACAACAGTAGAATGAAATTCAGAGCTGCTCCATTAAAGTGCAAGAATCAACAATTAACAAATAAAACAAATCAACAGTTCTCATTCAGTATGGTGTCAACTTTGGGGAAGAAGTTGTCCCTGAGTCTGCTGGTCTTCGCTGGCATTGACCTGAAGCACCTGTCAGAAGACAACAGGTTGAACAGGTGAATCCAGGGTGTGTATTGTCTTTAATGAATTTCCTCTCTTTGCTGAAACAGCGGGACTTGTATAACATGGTTAAGGAAGGCAGAGGGCAGACAGTAATGTCCTGTGCAGTGTTGGTGACCCTCTGCAGACACTTTCTGTCAGCCTCTGTGCAGCGAGAGCCACACTGTCACAGCAGAGGTCAGCAGGTGACCAATGCTGGAACAATCGAAGGTCACCAGCAGCTTGTGTTTAGTTGCTCTATTTTGCACAGATTCTGAAATCTAATAAAGCTTCAAATATTGATAAAGATTTGAGATGAAACAACTTTCCTAATGGTTTTAATTTGTCCAAAGAGGTTCATCTGCTCTTCTGATTATTAGGTTCTGTTTTCAGAGCCTTGTTCTGCTCCCTGTGCTCTTCCTCAGAGTCTCGTGATGTCGCTCAGATGATTTAAACAGGTTTTGGTTCTGTCTTTCACCTGCAGCGCCACCTGCAGTCCCACCTCCTCAGGACAGTATCCCAGGTGTGTGAGAGTGAAAAAGCCCCTTGTCCTGGTTTATAGTTCTGTGTACAGACATCAAAACCTGTTTAAATCATTTGAGCGACACGTCACAGCAACATCATGTGACTGTGAAGAAGAGCGCAGGGAGCAGAATGTCAGGGATGAAAACAAACTCTTGGTTTTTATTTGTATATTTTTGCTCAAACTAACTGCCTCTTCAGCAGGTCTCAAAGTATCATGAAAAATACTTTTACTTTTCAGTCCTGTTCAAAAATGTAGCAGAGTAGAAAGTACAGACACCTGCTCTCAGATCTACTGAAGTCAAAGTAAAAAGTATACACATTAAAATGTACAGATTCCTCAAATTTAGACTGAAGTATAAATGAAGTACTTCAACACTTGTACTTTGTTACATTCCACCAATGACTGCCTGGAATGTTCCACAGTATGGCATTACAGTCATCTATATCCATGGAGACAAGTGGGTAAGTCACAGGTCAGATCTGTGGAGAGGCTACTTTACTCACAGTAAGAACACTCTTCTTTTTCTGAACCATGAAAGCTCACGAGATAGAAGTTTAATGCCATACTGCGGAACATTCCAGGCAAAGCAGTGACACACCTCTGCAGACGAGCAGGTGGCGGACCATCCACCAGGATAATGGCATAGTGCAGCTTCAGAAGAACATTCCATCAGGCTCAGAGGTGAACATCGTTTGTTTAAACTGAATTTACCATTTTGACTCACAACAGGAGCCGTATGTGACCAGCAGGGGGCGCCACACACGTGTGCAAATCACACTAATGTTGAGGTGATCCCAAAGTCTGACGTGTGACTCAGAAGTCCTCCCTGTGTGTCAGGTGCCCTCCCTGTGTGTGTCAGATGCCCTCCCTGTGTGTCAGGTGCCCTCCGTGTGTGTGTCAGGTGCCCTCCCTGTGTGTGTCAGGTGCCCTCCCTGTGTGTCAGATGCCCTCCCTGTGTGTGTCAGATGCCCTCTCTGTGTGTCAGGTGCCCTCTCTGTGTGTCAGGTGCCCTCCCTGTGTGTGTCAGGTGCCCTCCCTGTGTGTCAGATGCCCTCCCTGTGTGTGTCAGATGCCCTCTCTGTGTGTCAGGTGCCCTCTCTGTGTGTCAGGTGCCCTCTCTGTGTGTCAGGTGCCCTCTCTGTGTGTCAGATGCCCTCTCTGTGTGTCAGGTGCCCTCTCTGTGTGTCAGGTGCCCTCCCTGTGTGTGTCAGATGCCCTCTCTGTGTGTCAGGTGCCCTCTCTGTGTGTCAGGTGCCCTCTCTGTGTGTCAGGTGCCCTCTCTCTGTGTGTCTTGTTTGTGTTAAATCTGCTGACTCTGTAGTTTCGAGCTCTCTACAAATGTTGTGAATCTTCCGGGGTTTTCGAGCTCAGTTGTGTGTGTGTCAGGTGTTCCGTGGACGTGACTGTGTGTGAAGAAGAAGAGTGAGACTTACTCTTAAAGGCGGGGAACATGGGGACTGTGTTTGTGATGAGAGAAGCATCAAATCTGGACTCTGCAGAAGACGCTAATTCTGAAAAACAGGAAGGAAGAAACACATTCAGTGGAAGACCTGGTTTAGTCCTGGTTTAGTCCTGGTTTAGTCCTGGTTTAGACCTGGTTTAGTCCTGGTTTAGTCCTGGTTTAGACCTGGTTTAGTCCTGGTTTAGTCCTGGTTTAGTCCTGCTTTAGTCCTGGTTTAGTCCTGGTTTAGTCCTGCTTTAGTCCTGGTTTAGATCTGGTTCTGGTTGAAGCGGGGTTACAGCAGATTAAAGGAGAGGTCCCACTGTGTCTGATGTTGCCTTCACATGGTGTGATTTTTGTCATGGTGAAGTGAAACATGGCGGACCCAGAGTTTAATGACAATAAGTGTAAATGGAGATGTTCTGTTTTTATGTATGCAACAACATTATGTAAGCGACAAACGAACCAACTAACAGCAGCAGACAATGTTTAACTCAAGGCAACGCTTAAGGTCAGGGTTTACTGGTTAGGGTTTAGGGGTTAGGGTTTAGGAGTTATGGTTTAGGGGTTAGGGTTTAGGAGTTAGGGTTTAGGGATTTAGGGGTTAGGGTTTAGGGGTTAGGGTTTAGGGTTTAGGGGTTTAGGGATTTAGGGGTTAAGGGGTTAGGGGTTAGGAGTTAGGGTTTAGGGATTTAGGGGTTAAGGGGTTAGGGGTTAGGGTTTAGGAGTTAGGGTTTAGAGGTTAGGGATTTAGGGGTTAGGGGTTAGGGATTTAGGGGTTAGGGATTTAGGGGTTAGGGGTTAGGGTTTAGGTGTTAGGACTTAAGGGTTAGGGGTTAGGGTTTAGAGGTTTAGTCCCAGTGTGTATTAAAGGGGAGGTCCCTGTGTGTATTAAAGGGGAGGTACCTGTGTGTATTAAAGGGGAGGTCTCAGTGTGTGTATTAAAGGGGAGGTCGCTGTGTGTATTAAAGGGGAGGTACCTGTGTGTATTAAAGGGGAGGTCTCAGTGTGTGTATTAAAGGGGAGGTCGCTGTGTGTATTAAAGGGGAGGTACCTGTGTGTATTAAAGGGGAGGTCTCAGTGTGTGTATTAAAGGGGAGGTCTCAGTGTGTGTATTAAAGGGGAGGTCTCAGTGTGTGTATTAAAGGGGAGGTCTCAGTGTGTGTATTAAAGGGGAGGTCTCAGTGTGTGTATTAAAGGGGAGGTACCTGGCGGGAAGAGGAAGCCGTAGCTGAGTTGTTGGTGTTGGTGATAAACGCTGCAGCTCTGACTGTGAACTGGAGACACTCGAGGGTCTGCTCTGAGACACGTGTGAGGAGACGAGGGGGCAGAGGCAGACATGTCCCCCTGAAACACACACAACACACACACACACATTTAGACAATACAGACACACACACACACACACAGAGGAGATCAGGGCACACGTGTGGACAGTTCTGAGCTCATAAGAATTTGGGATTCACTGAGCCAGCTTTTTCAGTTCAGTTTTTTCGATACTCTGGCTTAAGTATCTGCCGATCCCCAATATCGTATAATCACTCCACACTCGGGAATATATTTCTGTAGCCACAGTTGCCCTGGGGCAGAGTGACAGAAGCAAGGCTGCCTATCTGCACCATCAGCCCCTCTGACAGGGTTCTTTTTCACTCACAAAATTTCAAAACTTTTCCATGACTTTTTCATGAGCTAAAGTGAATATTGCATGACTTTACGGCACCTACATGTGTAGAATTGATCAGAGTTTTAGGGCTAAATATGAAATGTGAACTCTTTGCACTCACCTTATAGTTTGGGATTATAGTTTTTGAACATTCAAAATCCTGTCAGTGCATTTATTGTCTCTTCAAACAAAAGGCACAGACATTCACAAATACTCAACAGCCTCATGAAAACTTAACAGAACACTGGAGTTACGAGAAAGAGATACTAAAATTCCATGACTTTTCCAAAATTGCATTGAATTTACAAAATTCTATGACTTTTCCAGGATTTCCATGACCATGGGAACCCTACTCCGACCACCAACACTAATGCACAGATGGCAACATGATTTTCGTAAAAACCTAATACTTTTAGTTCAGTTTTCAGCCTGTTGCTGCTGCACTGTATTCAAGTGTGCAGATGCAGAGGAGCCTTCACTGGTCTGGTTTTATGGAGTGGTGATCATTAGGAGTTTCCTGAGCGTGACCTTCTCACACAGAGCCTCCTTCTCCTGTTTAAAGGTCTGAGCAGTGACATCACAAGGTGCTCCTCTCACTCACACAACTGCCCTTTAAGAGACCACCAGAGCCACAGACCAGACCTGCTTTATGAGCTGCTCCCAGGACCGGACTGGACCGGACTGGACCGGGGAGAGGGCAGAGAGACTACAGCGTGTTCAGAAACATGTGACCTACAAACTGTGGAGTGTTAAGAAATGACCTCAAACCTGTACCTCCAAAATATAACAGCACTTTTTACTCATGTTATTTTGGGGAATTTTTGAATCAAGAATAAAGCAAAACTAAACCAAGACTGAACCAGGACTAAACGAGAACTAAACCAGGACTAAACTTGGTCTAAACCTGGACTTACACAGGACTAAATCAAGGCATCAATTGTATAAAGAAGTAGTGTTCACCTCCAGCCAAATGAAGCTCATCGAGACGAGTGGTTATAGTGGCTAATCTGCAGCCAGGGCCCATATTTGGAAATTTAAATTCAAAACCAAAAAGCCAATCAGGGGCGAGGGTTATTAAAGGTAACGCCCTCTTCTCTGGTTCTGCACTAACTATCTTCAATTAAATCCAAACTAGTGAAACCCCAGGATCATGTAGCGAGAATTAATATAAACATTTTAAGACCAAAATGAGGAGCGTGACAGCAGCAGTTACAGAGAGAGGGCCCACGCTTTTTCAGTCAAAGGAAATTGCAACAAGAGCTCAAAGAAATCACTTGGCGCCCGTGCTTACTTCCTATTTGAAACACGACAACTGCTGCGTAGCTGTCACAGAGTGTGTACACATGCACATCAGTATCCCAGTTATTAGTCATATCCCGGTTCTGTCAGTATTCGGGTTACTGTGTTTACATGAGCACTGAGAAACCGGGACACTCATATCCCTGTGTACATGATCAAATGGAGTATCTCGGTTTCTTGACATAATCTTACAAATGTGCAAGCGCAAAAATTAACTTAAATCAATTTAATAAACCAGGAAAAATACAAACCGTTAGCTCGTTTAACATAAGAGGCTAAGGAGCTACGAGATCTCCCACAATCCACTGCACACATCAAACCAACAGATTCTTCATTCAAATCTTCTGCATAAATAAACTCAACTTTACAACATATAAACCATAACCACTGTAGAGACACATCAACCAGTTTGATCAGATAATTCAGTTCTGATCACATTTGTTTATGTTTTACAGAAACGAAACTTAAGACCACATGGCTCATTAGCATAAACTGTTAGCGGTGATAAAAACAGCTGCTCCTTGTGCCGCTGATGTGATCAACTTATTTTGGACTAAATGACACGACTCTGTGGATTATGTGTGTTCTTTTTGTGACAGAAGAGGTGCTGATGATGGTATAAGTGTGTTCTGTGTGTATACAGTATAGAAGATAGTTCATGTTTTAACTTTTCACACGAGTGCAGGTCGTACGAGTGCAGATTGTACGTCTGCAGGTTTAGCGCAGCTCTTAATTTTACTGTCATTTTACTCATTTGGTCACTTTATTTATGTTGGTCAATTTATTTATGTCGCTACTGTTGTGGTGAAAAGATTGGAAAGTGTCTTCTGGATGCATGCACACTCAAGTTTATGTTGCAGTATTCGGGATACTGCATTTACATGCCACAGTATCCCGGTTACTATCGGAATAAACCAGCTACAGTAACCCGGTTTCTAATAACCGGGACACTGCCATAACCGGGATACTGAAACCGGGTTACTGCGTTTACATGCACCATGAAAAAAACGGGATACTCAAAAAACCTGATTATAACCGGGATATTGATGTGCATGTGTACACACTCACAGTAAATAGAGAGAGGGTCTTAATATTAGAAGAATATTGCCTTCTGATATATGCTTGTTGTTGTCTCGGTGTAGGGGGCATGTCTCGGTGTAGGGGGTGTGTCTCAGTGTAGGGGGCGTGTCTCGGTGTAGGGGGTGTGTCTCAGTGTAGGGGGCGTGTCTCGGTGTAGGGGACGTGTCTCGGAGTAGGGGATGTGTCACGGTATAGGGGGTGTGTCTCGGAGTAGGGGGCGTGTCTTAGAGTAGAGGCTGTGTCTCGTGTAGAGGGCGTGTCTAGGTGTAGGAGGCGTGTCTCGTGTAGAGTTCGTGTCTCGGTGTAGGGGGCGTGTCTCGGTGTAGGGGGTGTCTCTGGTGTAGGAGGCGTGTCTCGGTGTAGGGGGCGTGTGTCTCGTGTAGGGGGCGTGTGTAGGGGTGTCTCGGCTCGTGTAGGGGGGGCGTATCTCGGTGTAGGAGGCGTGTCTCGGTGTAGGGGTGTCTCGTGTAGTCTCGTGTAGGGGCGTGACTCGGTGTAGAGGGTGTGTTGGTGTAGGAGGCGTGTCTCGGTGTAGGGGCGTGTCTCGTGTAGGGGGCGTGTCTCGTGTAGAGGGCGTGTCTTGGTGTAGGGGACGTGTCTCGGTGTAGAGGGTGTGTCTCGTGTAGGGGGCGTGTCTCGGTGTAGAGGGCGTGTCTCGGTGTAGGGGGCGTGTCTCGGTGTAGGGGCGTGTCTCGTGTAGGGGCGTCTCGTGTAGTGTCTTGGTGTAGGGGACGTGTCTCGGTGTAGAGGGTGTGTCTCGTGTAGGGGGCATGTCTCAGTGTAGGGGGCGTGTCTTGGTGTAGAGGCTGTCTCGTGTGTCTCGTGTAGGGGGCGTGTCTCGGTGTAGGGGCGTGTCTCGGTGTAGGAGGGCGTGTCTCGGTGTAGGGGGCGTGTCTCGTGTAGGGGCGTGTGGGCGTGTCTCGTGTAGGGGGGCTGTGTCTCGGTGTAGGGGCGTGTCTCGGTGTAGGGGGCGTGTCTCGGTGTAGAGGGGGCGTGTCTCGGTGTAGAGGGCGTGTCTGGTCTCGTGTAGGGGGCGTGTCTCGTGTGTAGGGGGCGTGTCTCGGTAGTGGTGTAGGGGGTGTCTCGGTGTAGGGGGCGTGTCTCGGTGTAGAGGGCGTGTCTCGGTGTAGGGGCGTGTCTCGGTGTAGGGGGCGTGTAGAGGGCGTGTCGTGTGGTGTGTCTCGTGAGGGGCGTGTCTCGGTGTAGAGGGCGTGTCTCGGTGTAGAGGGCGTGTCTTGGTGTAGGGCAACATCTAAATAAATTGCTTGGCCATCAACAAAAATGGAGCTACATGCAGTGTTGGGGAGTAACAGATTACATGTACCGGAGTTATGTAATCAGAGTACAAATTATGAGTAACTGTATTCAGTTACAGTTACTGTTTCAGTGAGTGGTAATTGGATTACAGTTACTTTGTTGAAATAAATGGATTACATGGAGGTATTTACCTGTTTTCTCATTTTGGGCTAAACCAGGATTAAAACCAGGTCTAAACCAGGACTAAACTAGGACTAAACCAGGTCTAATACCAGGTGTAAACCAGGACTAAACTAGGACTAAAACCAGGACTAAACCAGGACTAAACAAAATGACACCTAACAGTAGGATGGACATCATTTAAAGCAGCAGTGATCTATTCTTAATATGTTTAAGGAAAGACTGGGCTTTTTCTTTTCTTTTAGCAGATAAAACTTTTCATGTTCAGATTTCCTCATCTTTGCTTCTCTGCAGTGAAAAAAAGTCTGTTCATGGAGACTTGGGCTCAATTTGACAATTTGAAGAAAACAAACAAGAATTTTCAGGATGTGGTTGCTACATTCATGTAGTTTTAAAAAGCACGACAATATCAAGTAATCCAAAGTATTCAGATTACATTACTCACTTTAAGTAACTTCATGGATTACGTTACAAACTACATTTTGGGATATGTAATCTGTAATCTGTAGGGGATTACATTTCAAAAGTAAGCCACTCATTTAAACAGTTTTCTCATAACCTCCGTACAGATCGCTCAGCTCTTTACTCCACCTGGCTGCTCTAAAAATATCAGTGACCCTGATCAGGACATGTTCAGATCACTGATATTTCATGAAGTTGCCAAATTAATTTCAGGCTTAAAAAAATTCAAAAGTACTTGATGCATTTGGTTTAAATACACATTTTCTGAAAGAATTTAAGGATTCTCTTGTGCGACACATCACCACTCAATATGTCTTTCAAATTTTCAGTTGTTCCAACTGATTGGAAAATAGCTGCAGTGACACCAATTGATAAATCAGGTGCTAAAACAGAGATGGTTAATTATCGGCCAATTAGCATACTTCCTGTTATATGTAAAATAGATGAAAAGTGGGTAGTTAAACTCCTTACTGCTCATTTAGAAAACACCCAACCCTCACTACACCCGCTACAGTTTGGCAGAAAACAAGTGTGGTAGTTGATGGTGTAAAATCTCAATTGCTGGATTGTGATGTTGGTATCCCACAGGGGTCAGTCCTTTGGCCAGTGTTATTCTCCTTTTCCATCAATAATTTGCCAAATGTTTGTCCAAATGTATTTGCACAGACGTATGCAGATGATGCAGTCATCTACACTCAAGACAAAAGTTTTCAGCAAGCTGCTGATGACCTCACAGTTGCCTTATAGTCTGTGTAAAGCTCAAGGATTCATGCCTATTGCTAAACACCAAAAAAAAAAAAAAAAAACTTTCTGTATGTATTTCTCAAAATGTCACACCGAATTTTTTTTTCTTATTGGTGTAGAACTTAATCTGGTCTCAGAAATAAAATACCTTGGAGTTACTCTAGATCCAATACGTTATAAAAGTGTCCCAGGTAATCCAGTTTAATAATCAGCACTTTCATCACATCAGGAACAATTTAAACATAAATGCTGCTAAAACTTATTTCTCCTCATTTCTCCCTTATTGTTTAACTACTTGATCTCTTGACTGCTCCACAACACTTAAAACCATTGAGCACCTCTATAAAAGAGGTCTAAAAATACTTGATAAAAAACCCATTTCCCACCACCACTGTCACATTCTGAAAAAGCACAGGCTTTTGGATTTTAGTAATATGATCAAACTCAAAAGGGCTTGTTTAATTTATAAGGTCCTACCCTCCCTCGCTCCACCTCCGTTAAAGGAGAACATCAAACGCAAAGACATTTCAGAAAGAACCACACGAGCCACCACCAGGGGAGACCTGCTCATACCCCACAGACAGACCACCTTTGGTCAGAATGTTTTATCTGCCCAGGGTGGAAACTAACAACTAACTCCACTAACAATGAGAGAGTGTCCTACATACTGCTCTTTTAAATCTCAAATGAAAAACTGGTTATGGTCAAATCAAACATGTCTCATGTTTAGCTGCATTATGATTTGAATTGATCTCCTATGAACATATATTTGCATGTGTTGAATGTGTGGCCAAATAGGAGGGCAGGAAGTGAATTGACTGGAGGAAAATGCCGATGTGTTGTGTAGTTTACGGCTGTGCCAATTGTTCTAACCGAGAGAAGGAAGAGTATCGAATATAGTCGTCCACAAAGGTCAGAAATGGGAAAAGCCGACAGAAAAATGCCGTAAAAGGTGGATTACAAACCTGTTAGAGGTCGGGAGGAGCAGAATTCGCTAATGCTCGTGTCTGCAGTGACCACTTCAACAAAGGCATGTTACAAAGCTAAATTGTTTTTTGTGGTTTACCTAAACATAAACAAATCATTAACGACAAACGACTAACGACGTCTGTTGACATTAAATTGTTCAAATAGAGGTTACTGCCGATACACTGCAGTTTTTCCCATAACAGTCGATACACATAAAATAAGAGAAACTCACCCCGGCAAAGACCAAACCATAAACATCATTTAGGCGATTTGCACCAAGGTTGAGGACACATCCACTGACAAAAAAAGTTATAAGCCTCCAAACTTTTGTACACCTTCATCTGTTGTCTGGTGTAGAACGATGTCTGAAGAGCTAAATAGTTCGTGATGTCCTCTGCCTCGATTGTCGGCAAATCTTTTACTTCGGTTGAAAATTCTCTCATTTTCAGTAAGATCAGGGTCACGCCCAATATATTTGTCGACTAACTGCTCGTACTTTTGTCTTGCTACTGGCTCTAAATCCTGACAATAAGAACTCTTCTCCATATCTGTGTTCCCCAGAGCCATGTTTGTCGTGTTTGTCTTCACTTCCTGCCCTCAACCTGAAATTCGCGCATCATCGTGATCACGTGACTGAAACCCTCCTATAAAATAATGGGACTTGCACAATGACTGGACTGTGTAATATTTTGGACTGTACAATGAATGGAATGTGCAATAACAGGAACTGTGCAATAACGGGAACTGTGTAATGAGTGGAGTGTGCAATATTTTATTGTCTGGCCCCTGTGACCACAGCCCTTTGGGACAATGGATGGAAATGAGCCTTAGGTGACAATCTGGTGTGTTTACATTCATGTCGTGTCATGTTTGTCCATTAACATGCTCTGTCCCAATCAAATCAATCAATCAATCAATAAATCAATCAATAGGGGGCGTGTCTGGGTGTAGGGGGCGTGTCTCACCTGGGCAGGGATGGTGTAGGACGCCCACAGAGGCAGGGCCAGCTCTCTGCTGTATCCACTGATGAACTCCACGTGATGAAGAAGAGAGTAGTGAGTGTGGAAGAGCACGGCCGGACGCCCGAACGGCACATGAGACGTGTCTGTGACACACGACATGGACATTTATACAGTCGCACTTCAGGAGGAGGCAAGACAGGACTAAAGACAGGACTAAAGGGACAGATCTCTACATGGGACTAAAGGGACAGACCTCCACACAGGACTAAAGGGACTGATCTCTACACAGGACTAAAGGGACAGATCTCCACACAGGACTAAAGGGACAGACCTCCACACAGGACTAAAGGGACTGATCTCTACACAGGACTAAAGGGACAGACAGACTCTCTACACAGGGACTAACACAGGGACAGATCTCCGCACAGGACTAAAGGGATAGATCTCTACACTGGATTAAAGGGACAGATCTCTACACAGGACTAAAGGGACAGATCTCTACACAGGACTAAAGGGACGGATCTCTACACAGGACTAAAGGGACAGATCTCTGCACAGAACTAAAGGGACAGATCTCCACACAGGACTAAAGGGACTTGAGTGATGACTTACTGTAGGCGTACAGCTCATCTGGTGGACTGAAGGGGGTGATGGTGTCCTCCACTTTGTTCTAAGGAAAGAAAAACACATATTTAAACTTTAGCATTTGTAGAACACATAAGTTAAATTCATTTATATTTATGTGATTGTACAGACCTCATCGTCACAGTTGCAGCCCAGATCGTAATTCGCTATGGCATCAGAGTCAAGGGGCGGGGTCGGAAATGTCACTTCCTGTGGCTGGGCGGGGCTAAAGGGTGGGTTGCGTAACATGTCATTGAGGCTGCCGTACGTGCCGTTGTTTGGGGCCGGAGTCAGGTCCAACAGATCTGACACAACAGAGACACAATGTCTCATGGAAATATACTCAAAACATAACAACACCTGACTCTTCTGTCTGTCACTCTGATCTAATGGGAGGAAATGTTCCACAGTGGGGCTTTAAGTGTTTTCGTGTAGTATCCTCCTTATAAATATCCCATCCCTGGAGTTGTTTTGTTTCTTTCACACTTGGAGGCAAACTGACTCTGACAAGCTCAAGGCAAATTAGGTGAAGTTTTGTGGAGTTTAAAAACCCAGAAGAGCATTTCTGAATCACCAACTGATGACATCACAAGGTTGTGACCTGAGCCAAGACTAAATGTGCGGCAGTGATGGATATAGTCCAACCCACCTGGTCTCAAGAAATGGGATCAAATGTTGGGACCCAAACCTGTGTAGGACACTACATTAGAGCAGGACGAAAGCCCCACTGCGGGACATTTCCTCACATTAGAACAGGGTTAAAGCTTCAGTGTGGGACATTTCCTCACATTAGAACAGGGTTAAAGCTTCAGTGTGGGACATTTCCTCACATTAGAACAGGGTTAAAGCTTCAGTGTGGGACATTTCCTCACATTAACATTAGAACAGGGTGGGACATTTAAAGAACAGGGTTAAAGCTTCAGTGTGGGACATTTCTCACATTAGACACATTTTCCTCACATTAGAACAGGGTTAAAGACTCAGTGTGGGACATTTCCTCACATTAGAACAGGGTTAAAGACTCAGTGTGGGACATTTCCTCACATTAGAACAGGGTTAAAGACTCAGTGTGGGACATTTCCTCACATTAGAACAGGGTTAAAGCCTCAGTGTGGGACATTTCCTCACATTAGAACAAGGTTACTGTATAAACGTACCACACATGACGTTGTAGAGCTCGATGTTCTCAAACTCTGGGACCATTTTCTGAAATTTAAAGCTCGGCCCGTGACCGATGAAGATCGTCTGAGAACGAGACAACAGTTCAACCAGATTCAGGAGGAGACAGTTAAAGGGGGTTGTTTTGTGTGTGAATCAGGTTTAAAGTGCACGTGGCAGATCAGGCCACTCTTTATAAAACACAATTTACATCATAGACTGAACATTTTACTACAGATATTGCCTAGATTTTTCTAGTTTTGTCAGTGTCTTGAAGTTTATAAAGTTACTTCCTGGTGGACACGGGCAGCAGATATGACATACTTGGAGGTAATTCCAAAACTGTTTACCTAGCAACCATAATATACACAACTCTAAAGCTTGTCTAAACTACACAATAGTTATATTAGACTAATGAAAATAAATTATATCGGCTTTATTTAGTTAAATGGAGGTTTAAAGTGTCCTTTTCTTCTCAACTCTTTCCACAAACTGTCACTTAATTGATATAAAACTATGATCCTTATTTAGCAGATATCATCAACATTCCCTGAGGGTCTGATGCTAACTGTAAGCACTGCTCTGTCTCAAGATCAGTTAGACTTGAATCTGAAGGCACTTCCTTCTCCGCTTTTACTTTGGTAATCGGTGATACACATAGGATTCAGCAGTGTTGTGTAGTCATTTTGGTACAAGTGGAAAAAAATCTGTCATGCTGCTGTTTTGCTGGTTGGTTGCCTGGCTGGTGTTTCTGAAAAACTACAGAGGAATTTCAGACAACATGAAATCCCAAAGACAAAACACCGAGCCACAAACAAAGTAACATGGTCTACTCCAGTCAGTGTAGTGAAGACTGCAGTGAGCGCCACACTGGAGAAACAGAACAGACATTTCACAAGAGGATGAACCAACACAGACGAGAGAGCAGCACAGGACCTCAGTCTGCTGTTCATCTCCACCTAAAAAAGGGGTGTCAAACATACGGCCCAGGGGCCGGATCTGGCCCTCCAAGACCTATAATGTGGCTCTCTGCTGATTTTCTACTAAAATTAATTTTATTTTATTATTTATTTTAAATATATATTTTCTCTTCGCTCTTTCCAAACGCTGTTAAAGGACGATCATTTTGACTGTTGACCGTGACACCCTCATCAGCGAAATGTCCAAAATGAAAAAAGTGGAGCCGAGTGCAGGATTTTCCAAGAAAAATTGACTGATCCCTATTTGCACACAAGTTCATGTTAAAACATTGTGTTGAAATTTCATTTTTCTTAAAGTTTCAGGTTGTTCATAATATAATATTTTGTAAAAGTTCATCAATTAAAAAAAGATTTCTGTAATAGATTTGCATTTCTCTGCACAAATATTTGAACTTATTGTTATTTTTGGGGTTTATATGCCATGAGTTTTCTGATCCGGCCCCAAAGTAAGAGTTTGACACTCCTGACCTAAAAGGACCTCAGTCTGTCGTACATCTCCACCTACAAGCCACAGGTCACTCTTTTGAGGACAGTGAGGAACAGATCTGAGCCAGAGAAAAGAACTGTTTTGAGAGGGCAGTTAAAGAGGCTATTTTTAAGAAAGAGAATCCATCTTTGAACAGAAATGGAGACCTCAGACACCATCTGTCTCCTATTTACAACTCCATCCTCAAACATGAATCTAAACAAACAAAGAGAACAACAGGGGGAGCCAGGTCAGGTCCAGAAGTCCTGAATGATTCTGTTAATATGACCTCACACTCAGTGCAAGCAATAGACCTAGCTAACAAACAGAAACTGTAAACAAGTAGATGTGTTAGTTGCAGAGTAGTTTCAGTGTAGTTAGCTCCTCCCTTCAGACAGACATAAGAAAGTGTCCACCACGGTCTGACCAGCTTGGATGAGCTGCAAAATGTATTCAACCAAAGTTCAGTTGACAAGTTTATCCTTTTACCATATTTTGCTGAAAATCAAATTATCTTAAACCTTCAGGGTATCTTAGTTAAAAGTCCACAACAGGTGCTCTTCAAGGACGAGGCTCAAAAGTGAACGGACAGTGAAGATGACCAAGCCTGTAATGTAAAAACTTACTGTGATAAAGTAAAAAGTGGTCAAAAAGTCTGAGGCACTCTGTTGGAATTAGAATGAAAGTCCTTTAATGGTTTCATGAGACAAGCCAACGTGTTTGGACACACGTGGGGTCTTCATCAGGACGAAGGGCGACTTTTATTCTAACTCCAACAGAGTGCCTTAGACTTTTTGACTGCTTTTTACTTTATCACATTATGTTTTTAGAGAGCAAGCTTGTTCATCTTCACTATCTCTTAATCTTAAACCTTTCTTGACAATGTTTGCTAATGGTAATTGCTGAACATTCCACCACAGAGATACATGTAGCAGCCCCCCCCCAGCGTCAAGTCACTGCAAAGTATCAATGAATTTGCCAAATGCACCTTAAATAACTGTACCAGTATTTCCTACAGGCGTGTGTGCTGCTGCTGTGTGTTACCCTCATGCTGTTGATCTTGTTGTCAAAGCCGTGGTCTCCGTTGAAAAAACAGCCTCTCCTCAGACGTTCCATTTCTCGCATTTTCCTGAAACCAAAACATAACAAATCAGATTCTGAAACACTTTTTTTTTTTTTTCCAATTTCAAACATTGATTTGGGAGAAATTAAACTCTCTGTACCTGCTACTGTCTTAAAAACTTGAATAAACAGAACTAATTCATTTTGTGGTCCAAAAGTCATTCCTCACTGACCTTCTGCATTCAGAGCATCCTAGTGATTCACTCTGATGAGTTTATAAGAGCTTTTCACAACTCTCAGAGACCAGAGCAGAGTTTTGCCGTCACAGTAATGGTAACGTCAACTAGCACTCTAACAGCACTCTTCCTGATTCTCAGACAACAGAACGCTTTTATTAGATGCAGATAGTACACAGTGGATTTATGAACTAAAGAGCTGCTTATACAATACAGGCTCTTTAAGTCCTCATCTTAAACAGGGAGTATTTGACTTCTGTGAGTTATTCACTGTACCACAGAACACAGATCACCATGTTCCCTTTGATTGTTCTGGAAACGCTGTGTCTGCTCCAAACAACGTGTTAACATGTTTTATAAGTTCCCCCTTTTCCCCTCACTTTGCTCCCTGCACTAAGTCACTCCCCCTTCAGAGCGCTATCACAACACAGTCAGTGTGTGTCTCACTAATGAAACTGCTGCACATCACATCAGGTTTGTCCTGTCACTGTGAACAGTTTTGTATCATGTTCTTGTATATTTATTAGGGGTGTAATGGTACATCTTCATGCCGAACAGTTTCAGTACAGGACTTTGGGTTCAGTACAGGACTGTGCACAAGTGAATTTGCACAATGTGTGTGTGTTTACATTCAGCCACTTCATGTGCAGCTACACAGAAGACTCGACTCTTTAACATTCACAAGGAACTCGTCCATGATTGGGGCAGTTGTTTCCTGCAGCGCTTTATAGTTAGAGCAACCGCCTTCACAACAACTGTCCCCCGACTTGACCACATGAATCCTGCAAAACTACAGTCATCGCACCCCGGTCCTCACTAATATATATATATATATATATATATATATATATATATATATATATATATATATATATATATACATACATTTGTTGTTGCTTATTTGAGAATATTTTATTTATGTTATTAGTATTACCAAGCAGCACTTTGCTGCTTCATTTTGTTTTATTTTCCCATTTGTATAATGTTAAAACCAGTGGCGGGCAGTCTGGGCCTACAAGGCCTTCTCTGTTGGCCTAATAAAATATATAATTAATAATATTATTATTAAATAATTCCAAATGTCTGTCCACTTCATTTCAGACCTTTTCTGATGCTTGTGCTGCTTCCAGACATGGATGTTCATATTAAAGCATCTGACCAATCACATTTCAGCCATCATTTGTTGCTGGGCAGAGTCAAAGTCAGAGAAGTCTCAGGCTTTCACAGTCCGTTTTGCAGGAACTCCAACACAAAATACATGTTCATGAAACTGTTGCTTTAACCAATCAGATTTTGAGTTGGTGTCACCAGGGCCTTCAGCAGCGCACGACAACGTCACCTGATTCAGAGCCGTGATTGGACAGTCAGAGAGAGAACCGCATACTGCAGCTGTGAGTAGTGGGCTACACGAATCCAAATAATTATTACTATGTATTACTGTTTTTAATTACCAGTGTCTAGTGTGGATTTTTTAAGTGGGCGTGCGCAATTCCTGACCCATGGGGTGTAAAGCTCTGTGCCTGTGGTCACTCATGTCTACATGGGCGCACCTCTGGGCCCGTCCTGATATCATGGTTTAGTCCTGGTTTAGTCCTGGTTCAGTTCTGGTTTAGTCCTGGTTTAATCCTGGTTCAGTCCTGGTTTAGTCCTGGTTCAGTCCTGGTTCAGTCCTGGTTCAGTCTTGGACCCTCATGTTGCAGGTCACTATAGGACAGTAGTGGAGATATCAGTGTTTCCCGCAGAACGTCATAGTTAAAGCGGTTGCCTTGACAACAAGCACAACCTCCCCAGCTCTTCTCCATGCTACTTCTGAAGGCCTAGGTGTGAAGTGGACAGTCCGCCACTGGTTAAAACAAATTGTTGTTTTAATAAACACACAAATAAAAAACAAGCAAATGGTTTTGCATTTTGTTCCCATCCTGTACCGAAAATGAACTGAACTGTGACCTCAAAACCAAGATACGTACCAAACTGTGATTTTTGTTTACTGTTACACCTTTAATACTTGCAGCGAACCATAAGAAGAGTTTGAATAAGGCCTGGGAGAGGTGAGAAAATGATTCACGCATGCATGGATGACTCTAAAACCTCTGCAGGCATGTTTTTGATGATGAAACATTAAAATACAGTAGAAAGCAAAACAAACAAAGAAAGAACAAAAAAGTGCTTAGTACCTCTACTTCAAACTGTGCTCACACTTACTTTGCGACGTGCCACTTCCTCTCCATGAGCAGGTGCACGTCCTCGATCCGCCTGTTGTTGGCGTAGTGCAGTCGTTTGGGTAGATGTTGCTTCAGGTAGGGTTTAAAATGCTGCGTGGGCATTTTACACTGAAACAACCGGAGCACAGGTCAGAGAACTGAGAAGTCCCACTCTCCAACAGCACACGAACACACCACCAATACTTACTGTGAGGTTAGCCACCACCACGCGAGGGTCATCTGCACAAAACCAAGAGATTTACAAAATGATCCAACTGACCCTCTCCTCTGACCCTCTCCTCCTCTAACCCTCTGACCCTCCTCTTCTTCTGCTCCAGTAGTAGTAGTAGTAGTAGTAGTAGTAGTAGTAGTAGTAGTAGTAGTAGTAGTAGTAGTAACAGTAGTATTTTGAGTACATACATGTAGGAGACTTGGGGTCTCTGGGTCGTATCCGTCCCAGTGATCCTGGGATGAGGTTGATCTCGTCGATGTTCAGAGGATACGAGATCAGGAACTCTGTGCGGTCGCAGTGAGCCTCCTCCATCCCTGAAGCAGTACACAGTACACAGTAGTACACATAAGATACAGTACACAGTAGTACACAGAGGAAGTAGTACACAGTAGTACACAGAAGATACAGTACACAGTAGTACACAGAAGATACAGTACACAGTAGTACACAGAGGAAGTAGTACACAGTAGTACACAGAAGATACAGTACACAGAGTATCTCAGGGCATTCTCACACATTTACATGTGACAGCAGCAGCTCACTCACACTGACCCCAGACCAACACTGATCAACACCGCTGTGCTCCTGCCAACACCGCTGTGCTCCTGCCAGCACCGCTGTGCTCCTGTCAGCACCGCTGTGCTCCTGTCAGCACCGCTGTGCTCCTGTCAGCACCGCTGTGCTCCCCTGAACACCGCTGTGCTCCCCTGAACACCGCTGTGCTCCTGAACACCGCTGTGCTCCCCTGAACACCGCTGTGCTCCCCTGAACACCGCTGTGCTCCCCTGAACACCGCTGTGCTCCTCTGAACACCGCTGTGCTCCCATGAACACCGCTGTGCTCCCATGAACACCGCTGTGCTCCCATGAACACCGCTGTGCTCCCATGAACACCGCTGTGCTCCCCTGAACACCGCTGTGCTCCCCTGAACACCGCTGTGCTCCTCTGAACACCGCTGTGCTCCTGTCACCTCCTTTGAGGAGCACCCTGTATGAAGAGTCGAGGCTGTGGTGGTCCCCTGCGTGTGGGAAAGACTCTGGAGTGCCACGGCACCACCATCACTCTCCTCTCATTTTGCACATTTGAAAGTGTTGTTTCTCACCGTGGTCCCCGACGATGATGACGTTGACGCAGCGATGAAGGTTCATCTGTTTGAGTCCGTTCATGAGCTGACCAATGACGTTATCGATCTCACGCAGAGGGTTGTCCAGCTGTGATACAACACAATATGACTCATGCAACCAACTGTACTAATATAATCATATACAGCACGTGATCAACACATGCAACTGTTTACACATTTAATGCAGCATTGTGTAACTTTTCTGGTGGAGGATCCATCCACCAATGCTTTCTTCATGGACACGTTATTGGTTGGTCTGGAATATTTCATGGTATTGTATTAAATCTTTCCTATTCCGTTTCCTACCATCATGGACACCAATCCAGACAAAGTTACAGGTCAGAGCTATGGAGAGGCGCTCACTGTCAGAATGCCTGTTTTTTTTCTAGTTATATTTGAGCTATAAAACCACCTGTAATTGAATAAATGTAGGATAGAACTGTTTAAAGTCATTCTGTGGAACATTCCAGGCAGAGCAATGACATCTCCATAGAAACAAGCAGGTGATGGACCCCCACCTGAAAAGTTACACAGTACACCATTAAATAGTAAACACCTTCACTGAGTATAGACTGAATACGCAGTAAAGCACTATGAGCCTCCAGATAAAGAGTTTCAGTTTGTTTTTACACACCTCGCTGCTGAGAGGTCCCAGTCTGTGTCCAAATGTGTCCGGCTGCTCCGAGTGAACGGCGTACACATAAGGCCTGAAACATTTCACACACACTTCAATATGTCGCTGTATCATGAGTATAGTTTCACTTTCAGTTTGTGTTTAAAAAGGTAAAGTTCATGCGTGTTATTTCTAGGCCCAGTGGTTTGACAGGGACACACCTGACGTCGTCCGGCAGGTGCAGCCAGTTGAGGATGGTCAGTATCCTTCTCTCCAGAGGAATGACCCTGAACACAGCAACACAAAGAGATATAAAGTAGTAGTAGTAGTCGTAGAAGCAGTAATAGTAGCTTTAGTAGCGGTAGTAGTAGCAGTAGTAGATGCAGTAGCAGTAGCTTTGGTAGTAGTAGCAGTCCATCCATCCATTTTCTTCTGCTTTATCCAGGGCCGGGCATCAGTCTGAGACAGGGACTCCCAGACTTCCCTCACCCTGGACACTTCCTCCAGCTCCACCGGGGGGACCCCGAGGCGTTCCCATGCCAGCCGAGAGACATAGTCCCTCCAGCGTGTCCTGGGTCTTCCCCGGGGCCTCCTCCCAGTGGGACATGCCCAGAACACCTCCCCAGAGAGGCGCCCAGGAGACATCCGGAACAGATGCCCGAGTCACCTCAGCTCTCTACGTGGAGGAGCAGCGGCTCTACTCCGAGCTCCTCCCATGTGGCTGAGCTCCTCACCCTGTCTCTAAGGGAGCACCCAGCCACCCTGTGGAGGAAACTCATTTCAGCAGCTTGTATCCGTGACCTTGTTCTTTCAGTCATTACCCAGAGCTCATGAGCATAGCTCAACCAGTAGCAGTAGTAGTAGCAACAGCATTAGAGGCAGTAGTAGTAGCAACAGTATTAGAGGCAGCAGTAGCAGTAGTGGCTGTAGTTATAGTAGTAGTAGTAGTATCAGTATCAGCGTCGATAGTAGTAGTAGCAGCAATAGTAATGAACCATACTTAAACATCCCTCCAAAGCTGTAAGTGAATTTGAATTTGATAACGATTCATCTTGTGCAGGGACACATGTGCTGTTGGACAGACTGTGGTTGCCGGGTTGATCATCAGTATCATGTATGTGCTGATTTACCGACTGTTTATAGTAAATGTTCACACTGAGCGAGTGTTGTTGTGCCTGAGTGTGTTTACGTCCTTTGTTCAGCTCCTCGTGATACTTAAAAGCTGATGTTAAAAGGCTAAAGCTAAAAGGCTAATAAATAAAGACTACTGTTAACAGATGAATGCTAAATGATGTCTGCGTCACTGTGCCTGGCACTGGGGAATTTGCAACAGTGGTGATTTTTGGTTTGCTCAGGACTCTCTAAAACAGGCATGTCCAAACTATGGCCTGGGGGCCAAATGCGGCCCTCAGACTAATTTTTCTTGGCCCTCAGACTTCAGGTGAATTGGCCCAAATTACCTTGCATCAATGAAAAATAAACTTTTTATTGCAAGTTTTTTGAAAATCTACCTTGGTAAACACTGTTGGGCAAGTTACTTTAAAACTGTAATGTGTTATTTATTACTTATTACTGTCATTTCAAAGTAATTCATTACATTACAATATTACTGCATTTAAAATGTAAGGCATTACATTAATATTGCATTACTTTATGTTACTGTCACCAAAATAACTGTGAAAAAGCTTAACTTTTGTGCCGTATATGGACTGAACCAGGACTAAACAAGGTCTAAACCAGGACTAAACCAGAGCTGAACCAGGACTAAACCAGAGCTGAACCAGGACTAAACCAGGACTATAACAGGACTAACCTCAGACTGATTCCAGGACTGAAGAGGAGGACTAAACCAGAACTGAACTAGGACTAAAACAGGACTCACTGTCAGGACGGGCTCGAAGGTGACCGACGGCTTTGCTCCGCACCTCATGGAGGTAAGAGCGGCTGTCGCCCGATCGCGCTTTACAGACCCCCTGCTGCGGGGGCTCGCGGCCCTGATTTCAGCAACTATTTGCGGGTACAAGACCCGGTGCAAGACTCTGCTACAGCGCGAAACGTCTACCTTCCTTCAACGTGTCCAGAAGTCCAACTTTTTGTGCAATGGTTTGCATCGTCCTCTGTCTTTTGGGTGTGAGCACAGGAGCCTTTGTCGAGGCAGAACGTTTCGTCGACGTTGTGGATTTTGTCAGAGAGAAAACTTGCAGACATACAGCACTTCAGAATCACACTGCTACAGATTGAACATTTATTTAAATTTGGCAGCTGAACACATTCTGTACTGTAGAGGAGACAGGAGTCCCTTAGCCGATCAGGACGCAGCGGGAGGAACGCGATACGTGTTCATACACTATAAACAAAAGGCATGCAAAATTGCACAAAAAATAAATAAAAAATAAAATCAGCGAAACAGCGAGACCGCGAAAAGTGAACCCCGTTAGAGCGAGGGACAACTGTAAACCAGGTCTAAACCAGAACTGACCCAGGTCTAAACCAGGTCTAAACAGCGTAGAGTTCTGGGTTGGTCCTTTCACCCGTGGTTAACTGAAGGTCTATCCGGCCGCGTCTCTGGCGTTTCACCGCTGCTGATATTGTGGTGATTTTAGCAAATTTCTATGAAGAAAAACCCACCACTTCAATCCAGGTTAAAAAAGCATTGTAACGCGCGTTACTCACATTTGTACCGAGTAAAATATTAAAATTTTTTCCCCTGTAATGCCTTACATTACTGCATCACAGCAAAAATCAACGCATTACTGTAATACATTACTTTTATAATGCGTTACTCCCAACACTGTTGATAAAGCTAATAGTTAATATTTACTGTGTGGTTTTAAGGATCTTAGCATGAATAAAGACTGATGGTTCATTCTAACGTGTTAAACATGCACAAATTTCAATTATTCCCTGTACTGAGCATCAGGCTTCGGCCCTCAATCGGCCCTCTGCTTCGTCTGTGTTTAGATATGTGGCCCTTGATGAAAAAAGTTTGGACACCCCTGCTCTAAAGTGTCCAGTTATTACATCAGAAAACCTTGTGAATCAGTTTACTCAAATTGGACATTTTTCCAAGGCACACCAGGGTTCCATGCTGCTATTTAGACATTGATGTCTAATTGTCAGAGTAGCAACATAAACATTATTTTTCAAGCGTCCAACTACTTTGACATTGAGTAGCGGCACTTTACTGTTTTTCAAACATTCTGCTTTTCCAACATGAATAATGTTAATGTGAGAGCCTGTTATACTTTGCGCTCCCATATGTCATAAGACGCGTGGGCCTTGATCAGAGAATACTTCTAAAAAAGAGCATAGGCCAGACTTTGGGAAAATATCTAATCTAAAATGGAGGCTGCATGGGCCTTTGTGCTTCTTTCGCTTGGTCATGTAGGTGATCTGTGGAGAACACCGTATAGACTAAATAAATAACCAATCAAGATCATTGTGCCAGCTCAATGAGAAGACCCTCTCACAGCCCAAACCACACATATGACGTGTCGGAATAAACAGGCATGTCTAAATAGAGGCATGTCGTAATCCCGGCATGTTTAAACAGAGGCATGTCGTAATGAAGGGATGTTGGAAAAGGCGGCGGACCCGCACACCACAGACTGTACAGTATAACTCAGGGAGTGTGTCACCCACAGCGTTCAGCTCCAAATGAAGCTCACCGAGGCCATCAGTTATAGCAGCAAATTTGTAACTGAGTTTCATATTTCCAACCGCAAGTATCACAGCAACCAAATATCCAATCAGACTTAGTGCTCAGCAGAAATAGTCAAAGATAATCAAAGCAGTGAAATAAAAACCCCAGGGGAAGAACACTTGAACACCAAAATGACAAATCTGACTACAGCAATTACAGAGACTTTTCCAATAAAAGTGAACTGGAGCCAGCGTCGATGGAGCCAAAGCACACCCATGGTCACTTCCTATTTGGAATGTGTCAGCTATTGGGTTAACTATGTCCAGAGATGTATACTGTAAAGTGTATGAAGCACACTCATATTCATCGACATAAAAGACTGAAATAGAGAATACAAGTGCCTAGGTCCAAACCCACACAGATGACAGTCTACAGGTTTGTACAGAGCAGATTCTACAGGTTAGAACAGATCAGAGTAGAGGTGTGTGCAGAATAGTGTCTAGTTCGTATACTGCAGGATAATCAGTACTAACTTAAGTACCAAGGCCAGAAGAAGGAGGCGGCCTTCACTCCCTGTTTCTCTGCTGTGATCCAGATCTGAAACACAAAGCACTTTAAATTATTTATTCAGTTTATTCACAAAAACAACTGTTAGATTTTATTTTTGTATAGTAAAACTAAAATGAATTATCTATGACCGA